AAATGCGGATGTACACATGCAACCATAGGAGTCAACTAACCTGCTAGCCTTGTACTTAGCTAGTCTAACAGTTCTAAAACGCAGATGCATACATGCAACCATAGGATTAACCTGCTAGCCTTATGCGCAGCTAGTCTAACAGTTTACCATTTGGCCACACGTGTTTAGGCACCTTCGGTCCCAGTCAAACTGGGGCTTGGCAACCTCGAGGTAGTACATACCCAACAACATGTAGAATGGCAAGTCGTCGCTGACTAGGAACAAATCTTATGATCAAGTTCCCAGCTCCATAGGAGAAGGTGCAGACCACGTCCTTGACGTAGTTATTCACAACCATGCGCTCTTTGTTGGCTAATGTAGATGCTACAGACCTACTCAAGCGCTGCAGCGTTGGCTAATGTAGATGCTACAGACCTACTCAAGGGCTGCACCCGGTCCCCTAGGCGCAGTCTCTCAACGCAGTTGAGACTTGTGAAGTTTCGCATGGAGCTGATGTCTACGAAGGCACTTACACTTGCGGCCATAGAACTGACCTCCACAACGAAATGCTCCCTTCTAGGACCTTTTGACAATGCCACCGAAGACTCTCAGGTGTCTCTTGCTGACCATCCGTTTCTAAGTCCTCTTAAGGCCTCAGACACATCAAATGAATAGAGTATCGTTTGGTCTAGTTGCGTCTGCGGGGTGACAAGTGAGTCAATAGCTTCGGCCAGCTGTTGAAGTGTTGAGGGAGATCCTCCACTTCAACATGAGTAGAGGCAGCTATATACTTGATGGGCCGATGTGTTTCGTTGGGATGTGCTCGTAGATGCACCACCCTGGGCCAAGGATCCGCAAGCACCTATCGAGGGTGGGACCCTTCGAGAGACTTCCGAGTTCTTGCATTTGAACTTCTGATGCCTATATAGGTGGCAGTTATACCTGTCCCTCCAAACGTCTTGATCAAGACCCGCACCCAAGCTAGATTGGGTGACTTATGAGCCTTCCCCGGACTCTTTTGCTGGCCGCCCTTCCCGCGGTCAGCAGCCTTTTCTTGGTTCTCGAAGCGAGGTTTCCACTCTAAAGACTCTCGTCGCTCGTTCCACAAGATTGGAAAGATCATCGATCTCAGTTTGATTCCCATCGGAATAAACCATTATTAACCGGCTGCCCTTCTTCTTCCACCCTTGTGGAACCTTTTTCTTCCAACTGTTCGAAGCAACCTCCTGAGAGTTCTACCAGCCTAGCCTCTAAGTTTAAGTCCTTGTTGAAGGAGTGTAGGTCATGATACTCGAGGCTCGCCTCACAAACCATAAAGTTCTTGATGTCTGTGGGAAGACACTGTAAGAACATGGACAGTAGGACTTGTGGGTCAAAACGCACCCGAAAGCGATAGACAGAAAACCAAGTTACAAAATGACGAAGTAGTCCATATAGTCATGTACCAAGCAGAGAGCACAATTCACCAAGATTCCACCCACATAAGAGCAATACAAAGAACTCAAGTGCGAATGCCGACTCTCCTGGTCACATGAACACTGTATCCAATGTCGCTCCTACTGTCTGGCGCTCAGCGTCCAGCCCTTTCCACCTGGCTTATTTATCCTATCTACGTTCAAGCGACTGGATCACACCAAAGCCGAAGACGAATGTACGTGACGTCAACACCAATGCCGACCACCAACATACACCAGGTACTTTCTCTCTCCTCTCGTCATCACCCCTCGTCTCCCCACATAGTGCGCCTCGTACCTGAAGACCACGATCGCCATCACCTGCATTGCATCCCTGCAGCCCGGCTATGGCTGCTGTGCACCCACTGCCTTGCAGCGCCCCTCTCACCTCAGTGCCCGTGCGCGTTCGACCCGCAGCGGCCATGCAGACACTAGCGAAGCAACGCAGCAGCGTATCCGCATTGCCTGCCAAGACCCTAATGCCTCTCCCAGGGGCTCACACTTTCCTTTATGGAAAGACCTTCTACAATGCTGCTTTCTCATTGGCCTGTAACCAGTCCATGATGTGTCGGCCTCACACAGCATGTTCCCAGGGCGCAACCACCCGAGCCCTGGGCTCAACTGTACAGCTCAGCCCTTTGCTTCTGGAAAGAGCCTGGAGGCTCACGCTGCTCTGTATCCAACTGGCGTGCTGTAACTGTCTGAGTACCCAAAATTCTCTGTAAATTGGTGGAACACTTTGCATCAACCTTGTAGTATTAGCCAATTAGGTACATCAATACGTGTTTCTATGCTGATAGCCATCTTTCTGATGTTTACTAGCCTTTTGTTGTTAACTTCTCTTTTTCACAAACAAAGCCTATTAAAGTTGAAGCCGGTTCAAATTTCACTCGATTTTTTGCATAGAAGAAATAATGCATAACAAAATAATCTATTGCGTGCTATTTTGTTTCATTGAAGTGGTTTGACTAGCCAACAATGGTGAGAATTGCAGAATCTTTTGTATGTCACTCATGGTCAAAGTTTGTTTCAACCAAGTGTTTTCTCTTTGACCCTTCATGATATGCAGGACCTGGACCACATGATTTCTCTGAGGCACTAGTGCGATCACGTATGGTCTTGTACTTTTTAGTATCAAGCCGGGCCAACACATCAGTGGCTTGCTGAGCCTGCTGAGGGTTGTGCCAACGCGCTTCAACTAAGTCCATAAAGCTTGCGAATGTATGGGACTTAGCCCAGTCGTTCATTCTCCTGCGGTGGCTCTGGGGTGCCACTAACCCATTTAGCCATATTGCTGCCGAACCTTTAAACCACCAGTACTTGGCCCATATATCGGCCGCGGGCCTAAGCTTTAACGCTACACGAAGTTTGCGCTTCGGGCAACCCGACCTAGAAGGCTGGCGCCGCCAGCCTTTCCGAAAACAAAAATGGAATTGGCGCTTCGGCGGGAAACGGCGGGCAGGGCACTTCCAGGCTCGGCTGCGATGGCTGGGCCAAGCACTGGTGGTTTAAGGTACGAAGCACTGGTAATGACTTCCTCCTCACGCAGCGTGCATTTGGACCTCACCCACACTGGAACTGTCCTCAACCATGTGTCGACGGTGGCCTCCTTGTCTCCAAAAAAGGTATTAGGCTGTTTCAGTAGGGTCTTGGGGGACAACTGTTGTGCTGTGGTCCAACCAAACCCTGTTGTTGTACGGGTTGCTGGACCGGTTGCTGCCCTGCAGCTGCAGCAGCTGGACCTGAAGATGAAGAAGCAGATTTGTGCAGCTGCTGCTGATGTACCACCTGGTGGTAGACCAAACTGAGGGACAAAGGGGCATGTCATTGCTGAAAACTGGGGCGGCGACAGAAAAACTGCTGGAGGGCTGGTACTAGGCCCGCCTATTGTGGAAGGGACTGGTCTTCCCTTCCCCTGCACGGCACTAGGTATCTGGTCAAGGGTTGACTGGATGTCATCCAGTCTGCTGTCAGGGTATTCTTGCATACTCGGCATGCTCACCCTGATGACTTCATCCTTGTTTAAAAGTTATCTTGTTGGAAAGATAAGGTTTCGGGTAGAAGGGTTAGCATGTTGCTGGTGGTGTGCCAGACTACTCACCGCCACTCCAAGTTCCCTTCTGCCATCAATGCCATCTTATAGTGCCCCGCACTGGGGCACAGCAGGGTGCAGAAGATGGCAGGGTGCTCGGTCTGCTTCTGCGCTCGCAAAGGACCAACCCTTTAGTGTGCGTGAGTCGAAACCTGAGCGCCGAAGGTGAGCCCATGGGGACCTCATGATTGTGGGCACTATATAGTACCCCATCAATGCAATTGCACACGAGTTTTCGCATGGCTAAGTCAATATAGTAAAAGCTCACGGTGCGGCGACCATTTAGGCGAAGTCTCGCGCACGGCGCCGGCGCGCTCAAAAACGAGAATGGTTACGGGTCGAGTGGAAAAGGGACTAGGCATGATATTGTAAGTAGACTCTAGTTTTAGTTATAAAATGTATCACTTGGTTAGAATGGCCATCCTAGTCGACCGGCGTATCACCCGCCTTACACCCCAGAAGCTCGTCTATGGCCGCCATGTGCCCGCTGCCACCGCAACGCCCCTCTCACCTATTAGCGCCCATGTGCGCCCTGGCCAGCGGGCACAAAGCAGCTGCTCGCGCATCGACGAGCAGCTGACGAGCAGCTGCATGGCCGCAATTAGGCCAAAATACCTACGACTGGGCAGGGCACTTTCCGATATGGAAAGTGTAGCCCTGCATCTGGCTGCTTGGGCCGGGCATGTCTGTGCCCAGTAGCTAAGTTGGCCCAAAGTGTCTGTGCCTTCCGTTTAAGACAGTTGCCTGGGCTGGCAGCTTCGAGGTGCGCCCAACCACCCCATGCGACTTGTGACGTGTTTCCTGCTTTCTGATAGGCCGAGAGGCCGGCTCCCAAGCCGAAGCTTCCAGGAGCCTGGAAGCTTCTTCGAAGGTTCTGATTCTCACGAGCAGGGCATTTGCAACCAATGGCGCGTGGCAACTGTCTGGCGCCCACAATGTGGAAAAACTTAAAAAAGTGTATTTGGGGGCCCCGTGTCAAATTCAAGCCCGCTTTCACTTATGGTGGGCATGCTGCTTGCTTGTCGATGGGGGGGGAGTGGGGTGTGGGCATTTTAGAGGCCGCAACCTAGTGGCCATTTGTGAGGGCAAAGTCCTCGCAGCTGGATCTGAACCCGGGTCATTGCATTGACCCTTACACCACGACAAAAGCGCATTGATGACCCAATGAAACTACCAACCAGTTCAAGTGAGCGCACATCAATCCCTGAGGTCACTGAACATCATGTCATGTCATCCTTATCCCCAGCAGTCAGGACACAGATCAACGTGGTTAACTGGAGCTGTTTTGTTCATTAGTGTTTTCACTGAAACTGTCACATTGGCTGGATTTTCTGTTATGTCGTGTATTCAGTTTTTACATATCTGGGCTAACAGAGCAAAAGTTAGCCTTTCGTTGAAACCAATGAGTGCTTACTTTCTCTCCACCCGCTTTGTCCACGCATCATGTCAACTCTCCTGAATTTTGTGCTTTCCAGGTGGCGAGATCGCTCAACTCAATGGATTGTTTCATTCTTCAAACCCAGCTACAATCAATGTACTTTGTCTGGTTTGGCTCCTTCAGCTCAGAGAAAGAGCAGAAAGCAAGCATATCAACAGCAGAGAGGCTTCGAGTAAGTTCTGGGGCTTGGGTAATGATTATTTGTGGTACCATTGCAATTGAGAGTGATCGTTTTCTGTAATGGTGATCTCTCTACTGTCTTCACTCGGAAAAATCACCCTGGCGTTATATTCAAGTTACCCTAAAAAAAAAATCAGATTTTTGTTTTTGCTCTGTTTTTTTTAACAGAACGCCCGTGTGAATACAACGCCCAGGGCCCAGGCGATATATTTGAAGAGAATGCCCCGGGGTTAATCCTGGGTGTTTTATTTGAAGAGAGCATCCGGGCATTATATTTGAATGTGCGATGGGCAGAGTGCCTTGTAGAGAGAGGATACATGGGTTTTAAAGGGGGTTGAAAGGGTTTTTGAATTCCAAGGTGTATGTTTTGGTTTTATTTTTTGTTTTCTTTTCTTTTTTCCGGTTAAGAAGGAATTCTGAAGTGACTTGACAAAAAGATGGTTCCATTGCGACACTTTTTTTTTAACGATTTTTTTTGAGGTCTTTGTTTTTCTGAGTTTTGGGGCCCCACCGAAGATGCCACCAATTTACTGTGGAATGCCCTAACGCCTGCCGGGCGTTATATTCGTATACAATGGCCACATGCTATGTTCGGGTGAAGATGGTAGTATTGCTCGCGGAGATTCATGCGTGAGAAACATCCAGAAGCTGGCGGGGCATTAGCATTCTCATTTTGCACATCACAGTGTTGCAGTATCTATTGGTGGAATCTAAACATGGCAGGTACGTCGAATTTGTAGTAGGGTGGGCATTTGCAGCACACAGGCCTAAAGAAGTGAACCGTGTCGGGTGGGCTGGGGAAATGGCCACTGTTCTGCGTTCAATGTCATGGATGGGCTTGGTACTTGAATACAATCATTACAATGACGAGG